TTAATATTGAACAAGACGTAAGGCTCCACTTCCGTGATTGCAGAATCATCTCTGCCAAAAACCCAATTCGGAAAAAAGATAGAGCGGGAGAATTGTTATGATGAACCACAGGTCTATCGTAAAAGACTGGCAATATATGCACTGGTGATAACTTTACCTTGCAGCTGAAGCAAGTTTAAAACCATAGTACTGCAGCTTTATTTTCCTACAGCCCTCAGTGACAACAACCGCCCACATAGTGACCACAGTAAAAACGCCCAACAGGCCAAAGACATAGGGTAACCAAGTATGGGCACTCCCTGCATTTGCAAAGAAATCAACTTGCTAAATCAAACTTTGAATTGACCTGACAAAGCAAGTACGTTTCCAGAAGTTCTATGACTCCCACTCTCTCTGCATGTGGACTTGTGTATATGACTACAGAGAAAGGGACTACAGTAGCTAATGTATTTATATTATGAAATAATAGTGAATATTATATCATTGTCAAAGGATGAGAAATAGTCTCATAATAATGACTCGGATTGCATTTTTCCATCACTACATTTAGGATACTAATCACCCCTGATGAGTTATTGACTGGAAATGATCAGGTTGACCATTTTCAAGTTCTGAACTTGTCCCCACAATAAACAAAATTGAAAGATTCCTTAACCTCGTTATATAAGAAAAGAGACCTAAAATGTTAGAATACAATAACTATTGCGTTGTTACCTGACAGTTGAGACAACATCTTGTGCAGTGTATCAGTGTAGCCAGTCAAAATTCCAACACATATGATTAAAGATGATCCTTGACCTGGATGTTGGATGGAACCTTAAGATAGTCAGCACGTGCTAGAGAAAAGGTGATTGAAATGGTGGCGACTAATTTGAAAATAAGCATTGTATGAGGAGCAGAAGCTTGAGAACAGATAAAGGGGGGGAAAAATCAATCACAACAAACTACAAGGCTCGGCAACAGCAAAGGACGTAAGAACAAACCAAACCCAGATTCTGATATCGTGTCACAAATCCACGTCACAGTCATTGCACCACAGACCAACAGAAGAGATGTCAGCATTACATGCTTGAACCTGTGAAGGGCATGAAACCTTGTAAGCACAAAGCAATTGCAAGCATTCATTTCTGATAGTGAGTCAACACAGAAATAACCATCCCGTACATAGACAGCAATAGCTGCTTTGACCTTAATATGAAAACGATAATTGTTCTAGTAAGCTCAATGCAAATACAACTCAGCTTAGGCAGCAGCATCCACACAACATAATCCAGCAGGAAGTATTGAAGTAAGAGCAAGAGACTTAAAGCAAAATGTTCCTAAGAAATCATTATGGCGAGCTTTTTGAATAAAAGTCTGCTAAGCAATTCTTGAAGAATGCAAATCCACACCATATGGGGTTTCTGGCGACCAAATTAAGAAAGCAAAAGCTGACACTGCATGTTTTTCACTATACCTGGAACTAGCTGCATATACAGAATAGGGAAGTGAATAACAAGCAACCACCACGGCTTCCAAAGTAGCAAAGCCAAGTGAAATCCACCATCTACAATGGAGAGAATCTGTACTAGTGAAGTCTCAACATAATTGACAGCAATTCTATAGAAGATTCAGTGACAAGAATTTGTCTCACTGCTTGAGATGGATAACTAAACACACATATATCTCTTAATCTTCTCATGGCCATCCAAGCCTTCTTTTCGCAGCTTTATGAGTGAAGGAAGTACATGACAGAGGACCTGAGGAACCCCAAGAAAAGCGGATAACGATGTAAGAAACACAAACATTCTTCTTCCTTACCTATCTTTATGCAAAAATACTTAACCATAATTCCATACTGTTGTCAGCTGGGAAAGGCTGAACGAGAAGAGGACAAATATCCACTCTACCTTCCCCTTTTGCTTCCAATTGCTTATGAACATTTTTCACTCCTTTTTGTTTTCCCTTTACGATTAGATTAATGATAACATAGAGCATTAAGCTGCATGATTCTGTATCTAGAATTCAGTTTTCACAAGCATTGGCGTCGGTAAAAATCTACCAAAATAAGCCTTTTCGTCAGTCACTATTATTCTCCTACAGGTACCAATAATAACTCTTTGTGCATCACCAGTTTGACAGGCTAAGATGGAACAAAAGTACATAGAAAAAATAAAAGAAGCACACCTGCATGAGTATCGACGCTAATATCTGTGGGCTGATTCCAAGCTGAAAGAACGACAACTTAAGCTCTGCTGTTAAGTCACCGAGTTCATCTGCCAAAATGGAAACAACCAAGTACTTGGAGAATCAGAGGGGAGAGGGGATAGCTTATTGAAACGAAATGGGCATCAAATTTGGAAGAAACGACAGATCCTGAGACAAAACTAAGGTAGTCTCGAGGTATAATAGTGTACATTCGTGCTACAGCAGAAACCAGAAGGACTTACCAACAGATCCTGAGACAAAACTAAGGTAGTCTCGAGGTATCAACCTTCTATCGAAACCAGGCAACGGAATATAGTATCCAATACGACTGACAACAATCAATGCAGCTGTGACAAATAACCGGCGCCTTATTTCACTCTTGAAAAATGCCCCTGCAGCATCGTTGATTACAGAACTTATCCTAACAAAATTCAGAAACCTATTTCGGAACATCTTAGCTTGGGGAAGCAACACAACATCATCGTCAACGAGATCAGTTGAACTAGAACGAGAGTCTCCATCATCTTGTCTTGGTGACACAACTTCAATGACAGACGCTGGTTCAGCATTCACCATATCACTTCGAAGTTTATCCGCAGAATTCACAGAGAATTGTCGACGTGAGCGTGACAGAATAGGTCTGGAAACCGATAAGAGAGGATGTGCAGCGGAGTCCAGCGTGTGCCCCTTGCGGGACACTTGGAGTTTCGAAGGGCGGCTGCATAACCAGAAATTCTCTTTGCCAAGTTTATCTGTACAATGAAGCGAAATAGGCAAATCAGAGAGACAAAAATCACATAGCTCAAATTTTAGTCTGCACACTGTTGCATGCATAGTGTTCGACGTATTGCCGAGGACAAATCATTAAACCAATTCTCAGAATCAGTTGCTTCTCTAGTTCTATCCAAAATTTTGTCTCCTTTCTTTCCTTCAACAAATGAAATCTAGACAAACGCCAACTAATTTAAGCTTCTAATTTTTATTTGGCCTGTTAAAACCTTCGGTTTTCTATGCAAAGAAGCGGCAAATTTCTAACCTCGAAGTTGGATGGGCCTGCTTCCGAAGTGTTGCGGAGTAAAGCGAAGAGTTGTCTCCATGAACGGCGGGGTTCGCGGCGCTGTCATCTTCGGTGGTGAGCCAACTTCACTTCAATTCAAGCAAATCAGTTCCAGCTTCAAAAGTTCCGGCAACGTCCCGGTCCGGTTTCTATTTTATAAGTACTTTGGACACGAAGGCGGACTAGATTTTGTATATATATGATAAACTTTATGCAACATTAACCTTTTTTTATAAAAACACATGCATTATATCATTCATATATAATATAGGTATCCAATTGAAATTGTGGTTCCGAGAAATTAGGGAGTCTAAAAGTCGAAATTTCCGGTTATACTGATAACGGCTATGCCACTAATCAAATTGCTAACCAAAGGTTAATAGTTAAATCGTTAACTCTTAAGGAGAATGCAGATCGATTAACAAAAGTTTAAATTCGCCTAGTGAGTTACCAAGTCATAAACGTGACTAAGGAAACGTACAGATACATCCTTAATCGTATGGAGAAGAAGCTGTTAGGCTAGAAAGCGAGGAGCCTCAGCTTTGCGGGTCGGGTCACTCTGGCGGTCTCAGTCCTGAATGCCCTCCCAGCTTATGCCATGCAGACTACTCTCCTTCTGCAGTCCTTATGCGACTCCAAAGACCGCAAAATCAGGAGTTTCATTTGGGGGAGTTCTGAAGGAGCACGGAAGATCCACCTGGTTCATTGGGAGGCGATTTGTCGGCCAAAGGAGGCGGGTTTGGGGCTCCGCAGTGCACATGAGCTGAACCTTGCTTTCCTTGCTAAGGTAGCCTGGTATTTCGTTAAAATCCAGATGAATTATGGGTGCGTGTTTTGCAGGCTAAGTATTTCAGGAAAGTGGAGGGAGTTCTCATGGCCAAATCGGCGGGCAGGATGTCCAACCTCTGGCGTGGAGTTAAGAAGGCTTGGCCAATTATGCAGACAGGAATGCGCATGAACATCAATGATGGCCTCTCTACATCCTTTTGGGCGGATAGGTGGATTGATAGCGGGGAACTGTTGCTCGATTCAACAAAGGAGGACGGGCAACCCATTGATCCTTCCCAGCCGGTTGCGGCTTTTGTGAATTCCCAAGGTGAGTGGGATCTTCCGAAATTACAGGGAGTTCTACCTGAGGAGGTTGTTTTGCAGGTACTGGGAATACAACCTCCGCAGTTCCATGCAGGAGAGGACAGTATGGCATGGGGACCAGAGAATGATGGCCGATTCAGGGTATGTTCAGCGTATGACATTGCCAAGGGCGAGGTGGACAAATGGTGGAGCTTTGACTAGCGTACGGTCTGGCAGTGGAGGGGACCGGCTCGCGTGACTCACTTCCCGTGGCTGGCTACTCGGAACCGCCTATTGACGAACCAGGAGCGGACGCGGCGCCACATAGCGACCTCTTCGATCTGTGGCCACTGCAAGCAGCACCCAGAAACAGTCATGCATGTGTTGCGGGACTGCTCTTTTTCCAGGTTAACTTGGATGCAACTCACTCATCTTTCTGATCAACAAGGCTTTTTTGATAGTCATCTTCAAGATTGGATACTTCATAACATCATACGGGAGGACACATGACTCGGCTTTGGTATAATTTGCTGGTCTCTTTGGAGGACCAGAAACGACAGAGTCTTTGCAGGCAAAGTCGTCACCACTGAAGTCTTTCTACAGCGTGTCCTGGCTTGGATAACTTGTCCTGAGGAATGCCATGGACAAAGAAAGGCTTGTTCACATGCCTAGTTTGCCCGCTAGAATGGAGGTTGAGATCTCTTGGAAGCCGCCACCTCTAGAGTGGGTTACTCTCAATTCAGACAGCCCCGTCATTCCTGAATCGGACCATGCTACAGCGGGTGGCCTGATTAGAGATCATACAGGATGCTGCCTCGCAGCATTCGCTAGTAACTTGGAGATTTGTTCTATCACCCGAGCAGAATTGAGAGGAGCTGTAGAAGGACTTCAGTTAGCCTGGGAGCGTGGTTATTGTCGGGTTCGTGTGGAGTTGGACTTTCAGTGTGTTGTTCAGCTTCTCCACAGCCAGAGCACTGATCATCATCACGCCGTTGTCATTGAGCGTTTCCAGGAGCTTTGCACACGGGATTGGGAGGTTTTGTGTTACCATATCTACAGAGAGGGAAACACGTGCACTGATTTTTTAGCTAGTCGAGGTCACTCCCTTCCTTTGGGTACCCATCTTGTCCCGATGTTTGATCCGGGTTTGAGTCATTTTATCATGTATGACTGTCAAGGCTTTTCTGTGCCTCGTCTTGTTGTGAATGAAAGCTAAGATGCGTTGTATCCATTTATAAAAAAAAAATAAACGATTAATACCGACTGTTAGCAGCTAACCGATTAGTAATTGATAAGGGTTGTTAACCACTTAAAATAGAAAAATGTTGTAGAATACATTTGCACACAAATATTCTTATAAAATAAGATGAACCAATACCAAAAATAGGAAACTGGTAGTTTGGGCTTGACTCGTATGTAGTTAGAGTCCAAGTGTTTGACAAGATAGGCTTTAGGCCTTATCTAGTCGTCTTCAACGTCCAATAGATTGTTCTTGTTGAGTATCAAACACATAATATAGAAGAGCAGGAAAAGAGGCACACATACATATTATGTTTTGTTAACCGAGTTTGGCATATTGCTTTACGCCTTGGATCGAAGGTGACTTACCCTTTAAGATCTTGTGTATAGGTTTTTATCTTATTCCAGGCTAACTCCAAGTTGAGTCCCTTTGGGTGAAACTCCAACACTTGACAAGAATAGAGCAATATACCCCTTTCTCTCTTCCTCACAAGCACTCACGCTAAAAAGAGAAACTACACAAGCTCACAATCATTAAAGCAATACAGACAGTGCCCTCTATCACTTCTGACCCTTATTGCTAATCACAGAGTGTTGATCTTGCTTTGTCTAGGATTGCTCTACCACATTTGGTGGGGCTTGTCTTGTTGCTTCCTTGTGTTTATAGTTTCTTAATTCAACTATCTTCTCTTGATCTTCACTTGATTATGGAGATTCTTTCCTGCAATCATATTGATATGACTCTAATTCGAAGAATCCCCTTGAACTTGGACCAAAACACTAGAGTTGCACATGTCAAAGTTTTTAAGGCTTTTCTCCTTTCTTGAATAACACAATACTTAAAGATAAAATGCAAAAATCGATCAAACATATCCGAACTCGTGAGAAGGGACAATTGGTATATAAAACCAATCAAAGAATTATCTCGAACTCGTTGATCACTTGAATCCGTGCATGTTATTGTCAGTGGTTTGCATGTATCAACAACTATCCTATCATACGCCAAGTTTAACCTAGGACGGCATTGTCCTATAGTGGTAATCAATGTCGTATCCTACTGTGGTCCTGGTACCCTAGCATACTTTCCACCTTGTTGTTAATTAGGTAATCGGGTTTTGAGGTTTTGAGTGGAGGATATGAGGAAATACTAGTCTAGAGGTTGATCAAAGCTAAAAGCAGGTACTTCGGGGAACAAATCATCCCCCTAGCTTATGGATACTATGCATGTATAGATACTTAGGGTTATGGAATGTGGTAAGTGAGCTCTTTTCCGTGGGCCTTCGTCGTTATCCACACGCCTCCGAGTACACCTTTCCTAAACCCATGTTTCAGTCACCTCGATCTAGGCTATCGTATCTAGGGCTTTAAGCTTATGGATCATCTCAATAGATACTATCCACCGTCCACAGCGAGGTTTCATCCCGGGTTCCATCTAGGAAGGCTACCTATAGCAGGAGTTCGGTCACCTTGACCACTATAGGCCCTCATTCACACATCTAGCCTAAATCGCCAGCTGACGCATACCCGTCTATCCCTAGAACTCCTTACCCAGCGCGGTAGCATAAAGTAGGCTAAGAGGGAATATTAGGGCGACTTACCCAAGCGTCATCATTTAGGAAAGAGTAACATTAAAAATCAACTAGACAAACACATTCATTCATTCAAACCCTAAAATATCCATACATACATAATACTCTAAAACTAGGGTTTGTGGTTTAGAATCCTTACTACCTTAGAGGACTACTCCATAAAGGAGGAAAGAAGATACATGATAGAAATAGAAGAAGACTTGGGGTAGAAGATGTCTCCTTGCTCCTAGCTTCTCATTCTCTTCTTCTCCCTTTAGCTTCTCTCTCTTCTCTCTCTAGAACCAGAAATTTCACCCAAAATAAGATCACTTGAAAAGGGAAAAGGGGTCTTCTATTTATAGGCAACTTGGCCTCGGGTAAGTTCACGGCCTGAGGCAGGGAGTTCACGGCCTGAGGCAGGGAGTTCACGACCTAAAACTAGGGTTTTGGTGTCATTGCTAGGAACTTTTAATAGTATTTGAAAGTAACTAATAATCTTTTGTTTATTTTATTTCCATTTAGACTTGATTTGTTTTTAGGTCTTTGTTTATAAGCCTTGTTCAAACTAGAAAAGCAAATCATCAACGAAGGAGGAAATTCGACTTCACCTTTGATTTATAAGTTGTGTATTGACATGCTCAATGATTTTATAACGCGCTTTGTACAAATGGCAATTGTGCATATGATCTGCCCAAAATTAAAAATATACTTATTCAATATTTATCGCAAATTTCCACCAAATCATTGTAAAAATAATTTTATTTCAATTAGGGGTAGGGAGAGTGTAATGGGTGGCTCCTAATGGAAGAGTAAATTAGTATAATAGTTCATTGAGAATGAAATTTAGCCATTTAGGGCACTTCTAATTGAAAATGGTTGTTTGAGAGATCATATGTTCAAATCTTGACGACCCCATTTGTTAAGCATATGATATTTAAATTTGCAAAAAATTTAACCACGTATAAATTGGTTTTCGTTAGCGGGAAAGTGTTAGTAAATATTAAATAGTTTAAGATCCATAATTAAATATTTCCCAACAACTCGAGTTGTGAATACTAAACGGGATTGACAAATAACACCATTCAAAAGCAAATGTCTAACTAAATTATGAATTTTTCGGTAATTAATTATGAATAATTTGTTTGATACATATAGAGTGATATTTTTTATAGTCATATATGTAATTTACCAAAAAAATTTAAATACAAAATTATATCATGAATGATTTAAAAAGCTAACAAAATATTTTTATCGTATGTATTTTTTCTAAACGGATCCACCCTACACAAAATTCTGGCTACGCCCCTGACTCGAGTGCATACTCTATGCATCATCCTCCTCTTCAAGATGACTAGCGAACTCGGCACATATCTCAACAAACTAGTGATTTGGATTTTGCGCCATGAAAGATGTTATCATATAAACGCGGACATCATCCATAATAGAAATACCGTAGTGATAAATTTACCATTCCTTTGCAATTCTGACAACCTAAATGTAAAGTTAGTTAATCTCTCCTACCTCTTTTTGTCGTAGATTGGTGTTGATCACCTCATATAGTTGCTCATATGTCAAACGACCATGAATTTGTAGTATGAAATTAGTATCACCAATGAAGCTCAATCCCAATTTTCTCTCTTCTTTTTGAATTCCCACCAAACAACAAGTTTAAAGGCTCTACACAAGAAGAAAAAATAAATATAAAACAATTAAATTACCTATCTAACTAATTCACACATACCATTTTGATCTACTAATAAAATATTTACTCAAGTAAGATTAATCCGCATACCTCACATTAGCTATAATCTCTAAGTGGTTGAGCGATCGAAAGACATGAATTTTGTTTAATGTGGTGGATAGTATTTGTAGGAGATAAAAGTTAAAAATGTTGGAAAAGATGTGACATTTATTAGAAAAATGACCTTCTATTTAAGCCACTCTAAAATGCTCGTTTTCCTCAAATTTTCCATTACAACCAATTTTTCCGTTAGCTTACCCGTTATAATTTTCCGTTAGCTATATGGGAACGTTGGAAATTTCTGTATGCTGGAAACACCTATTGGAGTAGCAATAAAATTATTTGAGGAACGCGCCCCAATTGATCTTTTTAGAGACAAAAACACCCAATTGGAAGGCACACACTCCAATTCTTCTTAATATTATTTGAAAACTCCAATTGAGACGGTGCATGCTCCAATTAATTATAAAAGCGTTAGATTTGAAAATATTCTCAAAAGTGCGATAGTTTGGTACTATTTTCTTAATAATTTTATAAAATCCCTCATTAATCCAACTTTCTCCACTCTCCGCCAAGGTTCTCAAACCATTATTGGGTCGACCAGTTCTACCTAGTTCAATAAGAGCCAGTCATATGAACGATTGGAATAAACTCTAGTTGGAGGATTCTGAAAAAAGTCAAAATTGGGTTAAACCAGACAAAACAAGATGGTCTAACGAGTTAAAATCGGGTTAAACCAGTCAAAACAGGATGGTCTAACGAGTTAAAATCAGGTTAAACTAGTCAAAATCGAATTTTAAGATGAGGATTGATAATTTGATAATATCTTAATGTAGATTAGTGAGATTTTTTAAAATCTAAATCTAAATCTATCTATCTATCTATCTATATCTATCTATCTATCTATCTATCTATCTATCTATATCTATATCTATATCTATACTATATTATGACAATTCAAAAGCAATATCTTGCCACATAAGCACTTGGAGGATCCACAATTTGCCAAGTTGGACAATTTTTTTAAAAACAAAAAAAAATAGTTATTAATGTATTTATGGAGCTACCTCTCTCTTCTTTAATATTTTCATTTCTTTATCCATTTTTTCTTTGCTTTAATAATAAGTTACATGTTGATAAACTTAACCAAACACACATTAATAATAATTTTGTTGTCCAGTAAAAAAATATGAATAAAAAAACAGAAAGTAACATATACCACATTTGTTTAAATAAAAAATATCTTATTAAACCTTATGAAGTAAAAATTTTACTCATTTTTACTAAAATTGAATGATAAGTTATATTTTGATGAAAAAATTAAACAAACATACACATAAACAATAATGTTTTTTTCAATTAAACAAAATTTATATGAAAAGAGAGAAAATAAACATTTGACATTCAATTACCTGTGAAAATAAACTATATTATTTTATATTGCAAACACTCTCTTATTCGTAAATTATATGTCTATAAAAATAAAACAATTATTATTTAGCAAAATCTCAGAGTATAATCTTGATCGAGTAGTCATAGTTATTTATTTAAAAAAACTTCTTATTCCTCATATTATGTTCTACCTTAAACTCCTCAAATGAAGAGAAATCGCATGTGCAATAATTTTATAATGTGTCCAAAATTCACATTAATAATATTTGTTCTATA